ATTCAGACAAAAAAAAAAAAAAAATTCTAAAACTCCCGTCACATTGTTGACCATGTGACATTTTCTCTTCCTCGGTTTAACATCAAATCAAAAACTTATGCTAATTTTTCAGCAATTTCTGAAAATTTGCTGTGTTTTCTGTAATTAGGTCAAATTCTGAGGTCACCTTATCGTAATTATCCATAAAAAAATACGAAAAAATGAACGGAAAAGAAAATGTGAAAAATGTAAAGCAAAAAGTAAAGGCACTGGCGCACACAGCTAGCAGGATCACACTATAACATTCATTCAGAAAATATGAACTCTTCCCAACCCAACATCAATTTCTGGCTTAGAGTTCCAATTGAATTAAAGACCCCTACTCATATCAGCTAAGATTTGAAGCGCATGGAAAAATCTCATGTACTGGTTTAATCCGTGTCAATCAAAACATTAGTTTGTGAAAACTTACATTGAAATCCATGTAAGAAGCATGCATGGCCAGCCACAGATGATCCATGAGCTTGAACGCTATACAATACAGAAGATCAAATGCCATTTCATTTTCTGTCATATAGAAAAGGATGGCGACTGTCAGAAATAAGCATGACACAATTGCAAGACAAACTGAACTCAAGATAGATAGTTCTTGTCCATTAAATGACAAGTCAATTATATAGCTCATGAAATCTGTGTTACCTTCAAGAAATTTGAGAAATGTTGCTCCCACAAACGTCCGGGGCTTCACTGCAGTATATAGTGGCAAGAAAATACAATCATACATGAACAAGAACAGCAAGCACTTGTATCATTTTTTTACCAACGGATCATGAGGCACTACAGGCTTGGTAGTTTTATATTCTTGACAAAAAAGAACTTTAGCTGCTCTCACAATCTCAATTATTTCATAAATAGCTCAATCAATAGTGACATAACCATGAATATTCACATTTATCAAAGTTCAAAATTATGTTATCTGAGTAAATTTTTTTCATACCAAATAAAGTAAAGAATTTAAACATCATGTGACAGTTCAGAGTAAAACCAGAAGCTTTATTGGATCTAATTGTACATTGGAGAATTTAGCTATATAGAAAATATTGGTTCTAAGAAAGAAGAAGGAAACAAGTGACAAGAACAAACAAGCTTACTAAGCTCATCCTCTGAAAAGAGATTCAAGAGATCACCTGCTTCAAGATCAAGCATCTGAATAAGCATGAATGTAATGTTGACACCACCCACTGCGAACGGATATTCCCACAACGCCCTACTACCTTCCTGCTTCCTTAGAAGAACCTGAAATGATTTCTACAGAAAAAAACATTTGACAAGTTTTGAAAGGTTAACATTTCATCAGATATACTTTACAGAGAAGAACAAAAATAAAGAAATCTATAAACATCTGAATAAGCATGAATGTAATGTTTTAGTAATATCCATTTGTGGAGGGGAGAGAGAGTAATCATACCGGGAAGTTCCTAGCAAAGTACAGCAAATTTTCCAGTGATATGAAACCACCACCCCTGAAAGGATAAAGTATCTGTTAATTAAAGGTCAGAGGAAAAAGTTGGACAAGAGATCACAAGAAAGTTCAGGGATAATAATGATACCGAAAATCTGTAGACGGATCTTTTCCCTGCCAACCCATTTCCTTCCACTGCTCTGATATTAGACCGTGTAGTTCCTCCCCAGGAAAGGCGGCATGCCATAAGGCCCGTAGAGCTTCCTGTCGAACAACAGAAGAAATTGAGGACAAGGATAACCAGATTTAGAGTAAATACTTGTAAAAAAGTTTCCAAAGCATATACATACATATGCATAGAGGTTTTATGAACTATACCTGATGCTCAGGAATAGAACTATCATAGGCTACATCTAATCGATTTTGTAGCTTCTCTAGGCATTCTTCCTGTCAAGTAAGTGATTATAAACATCAGGTAAGCATGCATGGTATGAGCAATGTACAAATAACTGATTTAACTGACACTCTGAAACTACACAAATGAAGTACTTTGTCTTTAACAATGTATACAGAGAATAAAATTTAACTTAAACTACTAGGAAAAGATTTTGTTATACCATATGTGTAATGAAGTGTGCCTATACATACAAATCTTCTCAGTGGAATAGTAAAATTTATTCCCAGTGGCGTCAACAAAAACTCAATTGTTACCCAATGATTATCTTGGCCTACGGAATATGCTACACAATTTGGTTCTTACATCCCAATGGCCCATAAATTGAAGAACGGTGCCATTTCAGGAGGTAACTCCAACACTCATCCATAGAAATAGTGGTGAAGTGGAAATTTCAAGGTTTCACTTCTATTTAACTTGCTATGAAAAGCTATGATTACTTGGAACTGACTGCATCTATTCTCACAACTCCATGTCAATAGGAAAAAGCCAAGTTTAGATGTCTATTAATGCTGTATTACCAAGACTTAGGAATACAATACATAATCAAAAAGGTACTTAACACATTTAAGCTAATTCTGAGATTTATCATATCCTAATACTGATAATTACCCATAGAGATCATACATTAATCAACAAAACCATTGAAAGTGAAGCAGTGATTCAGACGGGGCTTGGAAGTGCTGTGCAACATTGAGTCTTGAATGCGCTATAGGCAGTGCCCTAGATAAGGATTGCACTTAAAAATGCTATAGAAATTAGAATTCCAAATAAGTAACCCACATATTATATGACCTGTGCAGGTGTCAGATCAAATGATGGACGAGCATCACTATCCCTTCTTTGAGCACAAACACATGAAAGGCCTCTGCCAAGCCATGCAGCTGATCCAGCCACAACCTCCGCTGTAACAAAGAAAATGAGTGGCCAAAAGGAATAAAGAAAAAGAGCCAACTAAAAAAATAACAAACAATGCTTCCTATTCTTTGAAGTTTATATGTTGGCATATCTCTGCTAAGAAATGAAATTGCATAGACAAATCAGGAACAAAATCATCATGAGCTCAGCACATAATTAAGAATCAATGACAAGCACATTTACTATTACTACTATGAGGTCCAAAACAACCCATTTGCATTTATAGATAATACCAATAAGAGGATAGCTGTTGTTGTAACAATGTTAGGTCTAACACTCTCCTAATTCTGAACAGAATTAGGACCTGCAACTTTTGTTTTCGTTTGGTTTTTATCTTGCTCAGCCAACCATCTAAACCTACAGCCCATCCGAAAATTGCAGCTCCTGTTTCTCATTTGGTAATTTTTAGTTTCTATATTTGACTAAATTATGACATAATAGATCAAGATTCAGCAGGAGGCAAGGGAGTAACTACCAAGATATGAAGATCAAATTCACTGATCTAATAAATTAAAGAGCAAAATGGAATTTATACATACAAGACAGATGAATTCAGCAATAACAAATCTAATAAAACCAAACTAGAAAACAACCAAAAATCCCAACGCAAGTAGGCATCATCAATAGACGCAAGCGCTCAATTTTACGGATCCAGATTCTCCAAGAACATTCGCCTAAAAAAAAGTCGACATTTATAGGCAGAAAATGAAAAACACACGCTCATAGGTAGAGTAAGGTGGACGATAACTAATGTAATACAACACGACAAAAAGTAACAGAGATGGATAGAGAGAGAAACAAAAAACATCACTAACAAAAAGAAAGAAAGGTGCAAATGAAAAGGCAATATACCGCCGGAGGTCGAGTGGCAAGAGCTTCCACGATCAATCCCCTGTGATATTCGCCTCACCGCCACAAAAGATCCTCCGCCGCCACCTCTGTCATCCATTTCTTCACTGTCACTGCTCCGTATTCAACAACAGATCTTCTTTTCTCCTTTTTCTCGTCCACGAAAATCCAAATCCGAAATGAAGTTCGCACGATCGGGCACCTGAATTCCTAATCAAATTCACGCCGATGCGAAAATGTGAAATGAACCGGACTCAGGTGCCGCCGGTTCTCGAGGCTCCGGCTATCAAGAAACGGAAGATTTCCGTCGTTGGAGTTTGAAGATCGGTGGTATATCAACAAAAAACCAGGGAATTTTTTCGAAACGATTTTCTCTATCTAATAAGGCTTTTCTAACTAACCAGGTTTGTGCGGTTGCATTTTTCTCCGGTGTAATTAAGCACCTTTTTATTTACTCTGAAATTATAATTAAAAATGAAGATTCTGATTTCCAAATCCCGGGCCGGGCCGGTGGGTCTCTAGGTTCAAAATGGCCTACCTAAGTATACTTTTATTCGTTAAGGTTGGAATTTGGTTCATTCACTTAACAGAGCAGAACTTGATTCGATTCATTTAAGTTGGAGTTTGAATATCAGAAGCTCGAGTTTGACATAGAGCTAAGTATATTTTTTAATCTTTTAATTTTGCCTTTTCAATATTAACTATAAGAACCAGTACATTTTCTAGAATTAGGCAGGCCGGGCCGGGTTAAATTGAGGCCCAAACCAAATTGATGGTAGAAGCATTTTACACACTACAAGACGGACTCAAGTATCGGCCCGGATTAGAGATATTAAACGGGCTAGCCCTAGCAGTTTCGGGCTAACTCTAGCGGGTTTCGGGTTAAAAGGTCCGGGTTTAAAAAACTCGGATTTAAACGGGCTACCAAAAAAAGGACCTAACTCTAACCTTAGCGGGCTTCGGGCTAAACGGGCTATGCAGGCTATAATAATAATAATAATAATAATAATAATAATAATAATAATAATAATAATAATAGTATTAATATATAAAAAATAAAATAAAAAAGAGTAAAATATATATATAAAAAAAATAACAGCGGCTAGTTAACAATTGTTTTCAACGACTATTTACTATTTATTGTCTATCACTATGTTTCATGTGTTCCTTATTAGTGCTTTTGATTGACTTAAATATTTTGATACAATAGCAAAATTGTTAATAATTATCTTTTAAAATCATAATAATTCATTACAACTCATACTTACATGTGAAGTGGAATAGCAAAATTGTAATATTCAAGAAATCTAAGAGCATATTACTTACTTAATGCAAATATTTATACCGCTCAACTCTAGTTAAACGGGCCAGCCCTAGCGGGCTAAACGGTCCGAGTCTAAAAAGCCCTGATTTAAACGGGCTACTAATAAAAGGACCTAACCCTGTTTTTTTCTGGACTAAACGGATCGGGCCGTCGGGCCAAGGACCATTTAACATCTCTAGCCTGGATAATCCCAAAATTCCTTTTTCACATTTTTCGTTCACCTACAGTTTTCCCCTTATTAAAATAGTATGATATATATATTAAATTGATTATTAAAATCTTAACTATGACAACATTCTTTTATTACAGTGACTTTATACAAGGTGATGTAGCATTTGGGGTGAGTACAAACGAGACGAAACCTACAAATCGTACATTTCTATTCGTTTATTTTGAGTTAGGAGTTAGGGTTGTTATCATATATAAAATGTAGAGTAATACTATTTAGTCAACTCGAATGAAAAGTTAGGTTCCAATCTAAGTATAAATGTATTATCAAAAAATTAAAAAATAATATATTTACATTTGAATTATAACTCAAGTGAGCTTTATAGCATTACTCATAGAATGTATACATATATTCTCTTAATCTGTTAATTTATCATAGTGGAACTGTATAATTGCAGAATCAAAAATTGAAAAATTGGCACATTTGCATGTAATATAGGTATCTGCACAACTAAAAAAGTAGGTGCATCTTACAACATGCATCTTACTATTATTACAAATAACTCTAATTTCTTACAAAACAGAACCTATTTGTAACACTTATAATAGTGGATAAATTAAATTAAAAATCGAGATTGTAAAGTAAGCATATTCTCATAAAACAAGTAATATTACTTTATATTTCAACGCTGTTTTGTTCACAATTCACATTTTTCAATCAGGACAATTCTCCCACATCAGCTCTATGTGCCAACTGATATAATATAACAGCATCCAACTTCATCTCATTTTTTTTCTTTTCTTTCAAAGTCATATTATTTCCCACACCAAACTAAAGATACATGATGATACACAATACTATTCAAATATTATTTTATCTAGAGACTCTCATACATCTCCTTTCCAAGCCTAGGTTCAAGAACAACCTCAAGTGGCTTCAATTTGGGCAGGGCAAGCCCCAACCCTTCCCCCATGTCCACACTCTCCCCATCGGCCGTCGACAAATCGAACCCCTGAACCAGACGAGCCAGCGCCAGCTGGACGACCCGCATCCCGAACCCCATTCCGGGGCACATTCTCCTCCCCGAACTAAACGGTATGTACTCGAAACACTGCCCCTTGAAGTTGGTGTCCCTGTGCTGCTCTTCCACGAACCTCTCGGGCCGAAACTCGTCCGGGCCCGACCAAACTTCCGGGTCCCTCAGCATCTTCCACAGGTTCACGACCAGCCGCGTGCCCCTCGGCACGTGGGCCCCACCGACCCAACAGTCGTGGGCTGCCTCGCGCGGGCCCGAGAGCGGGCCCGGCGGGTAAAGCCTCAGCGTCTCCTTCACCACCGACTGCAGGTAGGGCAGGTCCTTTATGTCGGATTCTTGGGCCCACCTGGCCCGGCCCACGGTCGAGTCCATTTCCCGTTGGGCCTCGCGGAGGACACGCGGGCTGTTTAGGAGTAACGACAGGGCCCAGATGAGCGTCTCGGCCGTGCTTTCCGATCCCGTCATGATTAGAATCTTGGACGAAATTGTAAATTTATTTAAAATTATAATTTAAACAAATTTATAACAAAAACATGGTTAATTATTACCATCATTGTTGCCTTGATGACCGTCGATCTCGTGTAGCCGTGCACGGTTTCGTTCTCGGGAATAGCCGAAAACATTGCATCCAAGAAATCCGAACCCTCGAAATCCCCTGCATCATCATTACCACCTCTGTTTTCGGCCCTCTCTCGAACCCAATCCTCGAGCACATCGTCGATTACCTTACTAGTATCCTTCATCTCTTTAATATATCCTCCGATATCGAGCCATTCCAAACAAGGGATAGCGTCGGACAAAACAAACACCCCACTAAGGTGCAACGCTTTCTTAATCGCCTCCTTAAACCGATAATCCTTATCTTCATCACGAGCGTAAGGGTATCTCTTACCCGCTAGCTTCCCGATGATTATGTTGAACGTCAAGTGCTCGACCCAAGTGCTTAGGGCTATGGCCTTGTTTGGGACGTCGTTAGCAATGGAGTAGTACAAGTGTTTTACGAAAAGCCCGATTTCCGAGGCCCGGATGTGGGCCAGCCCGTCAAGGCGGCGTGGGGTGAGGAGCTCGAGGGTGGCCATCTTGCGAATGTGGCGCCAGTAGGGCCCATAAGGGGAGAGGGCAAAGCTGGCATTTTCGTAGCCGAGGTATTTGCCGGTGGCCATATTGGGCCGGGTGGCAAAGGCCCGGTCGTTGGTGGTGAAGCATTCCTTGATGGACTGCCAGCTACTCACGACTAGGGCTCGATGGGCTCCGAGCTGCAAGGTGAAGGTTGGGCCATAGGCATCGGCCATGGCTCCGAGGGTTCGGGCCACGGGGGCTGGCCCGCCAAGGAGGTGGAGGTGGCCGATGATGGGTAGGGCCCCCGGTGGCTCGGGTAGGGTGATTTTGGTCGTTTGTGTGGTTTGTGTATTTGGTAGTGATTTTTTTAAGAGGAGGAATGTGATGGTTAGGAGCAGGGCAATTGGTAGGATGAAAGGTTGGAAATCCATTGTGTGAAAAGTTAGTGTGGACATTGGTATTGGTAGGCATGACTATTTATAGAGGTGCCTAAAGGATTTAGCTAGCCTTCCAATTATCAGAAAGATGCGTCGATTACTAATTCGGGATAATTTTTTATTTTTTTTTTTATTTTTTTTTTTA